TATAACTCAGTTTTCTATTCAGTAAAATTGAGATAATGAGATTTGCCTGCATTTTAGGTTTTAATATGGATTAAATAATGCAGGTAAATTAATTGATCCATAGTATGTGCTCAGTAAGTACTAGCTATGGGTTCCCTTCTCTACTTTACCCATACCTTCAGCTTAGGTTTTACGCTGGTTATTTTGGAGATGGAGTCTAGTGCATATTAGGTTTTGGCTGGCCTCAACTGTGATACTCTAGATCCCAGCTTCCTGGATAGCTAGAATTACAGGTGTATACCACTGGTTCCCAGCCAGTGTTATTATTTTTTTGACAGTCCTGGGGCTTGAACTCTGGGCCTAGGCATGGTCCCTGAGCTCTTCTGCACAAGGCTAGCACTCTACCACTTGAGCCACAGCGTTGCTTCTGACTTTTCCTGTGATTAATTGGAGATAAGAATCTCGCCGACTTTCCTGTCTGGGCTGGTTTTGAACCTTGATCCTCAGATCTCAGCCTCCTGAGTAGCTAGGATTACAGGCATGAGCTACCAGGGCCCAGCTTGTGTTACTTTTTTTTTTGGGTCCGATCATGGGGCCTGAACTCTGGGCCTGGGCGCTGTCCCTCAGCTCTTCAGCTCAAGGCTAGTGCTCTACCACTTGAGCCACAGTGCCTCTTATGGCTTTTTTTTCCTTTTTGCTTATGTGGTGCTGAGGAATTGAACCCAGGGCCTCATGCATACAAGGCAAGCACTCTACCACTGAGCCACCTTCCCAGCCCCTTTTGTTATTATTTTTGATGGAAGGGCTTTCCCACACTCATCACTTAAGAATCTCTCATGTCATGATTCTTTCTTAAGAATAAACAGGGTCCTCTTTGCTTATTTAGTGGTCTTCATGTTGATTGCTCGGGCAGATCCTGTCTCTTCAGTTCTAGTAATTATCATGATTAGGATGATGAAGTAAATAAAGCAAGACCATCCTATCCATGCTTTCTCTTGCTCTTTACATGTTCCTATGTCTCTTTTTTATTTTTTGATTGGGGTCTGAGACTAGGACTTGAATTCAGTACCTGACACTTTTGCTCATTTGCTATCACTCTGCCCACTGAGCCATGCCTCCAAACCCTTTATCTCTATGAATCTGGCTCTTTTGCTCTATTTTCTCTGCTTTCTTATGTGTTTCTGCCATGGCTAACAGAAGGCTCTCTTGCCTCTTCCTGTTACAAAGCTTACATCTTTGTTTCTGTCTGCAAGTACCCTCTGCTCATTAGCAGAGAAAATTGATGCATAAAAAACCGATGGAATAATCAGTATTTTCTCAGTTCAGTTTGTACCTCTGTTCATCTCCCTAGATCATTCTAATGCATCACTCCTTCAAGTTTCTTTCCTTCTACACACAAGATAATTTTCCACAATCTCAGCTGGATGCTTGAGGATCTTGCCCATAATCCTAACTACTCAGGAGGCTGAGATATGGAGAATTTTGATTCAGAGCCAGCCCAGGCAGAAATAACTAGCAAAAAGCCAGGATGGAGGTGTGATTCAAGTGCTAGATCACCAGCTAAGTGATCACAAGGCCCTGAGTTTAAACCCTAGTATGCAAAAAAAGGGATTTTCTGTAATCTTATAACTGTGCACATAAGTGCATCATAATTTGGCAACATCAAAGTTACCTTACATACATGATGATAATAAAAATTATCTAACTGTTTTACAGAAAAAAGCCAAGTTTCCAGTACTAGCAGTATTTTTAGAGTTCCTCTGGGTTTAGCTAAGGGAGGGGCCATAGTCCTGCTTTTTCACTAACAGAACCTTTGTGGACCAGGTGGAGCGGCTGATCCAAGAACGTGGCTGGGAGTTCATGTGGAATGAGCGATTGGGATACATCTTGACCTGTCCATCTAACCTGGGCACTGGACTTCGGGCAGGAGTGCACATCAAACTGCCGCTGCTAAGCAAAGTAAAGGACCTGGGGTTAGAGAGGACTGTGTGTGAGTTAGGAGGTTTGTAGCTGGAGGGGGTGGGGGGAGTAAGCACTTTGAGAGGAGCCAGACATAATTGTGACTAAAGGGGCAAAAGCTCTGGGCAGGTGGGAAGGAAAAGTCTCTGCCTCTAATTCCCCTGCCTCTGATCCCTACCTCCCCTCTAGGATAGCCGCTTTCCTAAGATCCTGGAGAATCTGAGACTCCAAAAACGTGGCACTGGAGGGGTTGACACTGCTGCCACAGGCAGTGTCTTTGACATCTCTAATTTGGATCGACTTGGCAAGTCAGAGGTGAGATCCTAAGGGATGAAGCTGAGGAAAAGTACAGGTTTGTGGGGGTTGCAATGGTATAGTGAGTGAGCCTCAGGAATGTAATAGATTCTGAAAGGAAAATCAGGGTGAACAGGGAGGCAATTGGAAGTGTGCAGACACCAAGGATTAGTATCCTTTAGGTGGAGCTGGTACAACTGGTCATCGATGGAGTAAACTATTTGATTGAGTGTGAACGGCGTCTGGAAAGAGGCCAAGATATTCGCATCCCTCCACCTCTTGTCCACAGCAAACATTAGCTGCACAACAAACATCAATTCCTCATCCCCAGAAGATGACTCAAGATCCTCAGGACTTCTGCTCATTTAATAGTGGCCCCATTCTACTTGCCCTGAGCCTATCCCTTCTTCCTTCACTCCCCCACCTCCATCCTAGTAAAGACTCTATGCTATGTTCCTGTGTTCCTGTGTTATTTCTGTTCGTGAGAAGAGGAGGGAGAAGTCTTCAGGAAATTGAAATGCAGTCGGGTTATTTATGTTGGAAAGAGATTCCAGATATGACATGCCAGGAACATTGATTCTCAGGTGGGTGGAAAACATTAGCATTTTATCCATAATGCTCATCAACTTTCTGAGAATAATTAGGATGCATTTGCATTTGTATTTATTCATGATAAGGGTCCCCTTCCCCACAACAATCGCCCTGAATTGAAGAGACAGGATCAAAGATGGTGGCCAACAAAGCTGATGGTCAATGCCAGTGTCCAGGAAGTTTGTGACCAGTCCTGGAGGCCACAGGCCGAGCTTCGACCTAAAATAAGAAAAAAGAATGGGAAGAACATCAAAATTCTCCCCAGGAGCCATCAATATTTGGAAACTAGTTTTCTGCCTCTAGACCCCTTCACTCCAGGGGTCTCCCTGGGTAGGATTTAAGGGTTATCCAGCACCGATGTCAGGATTAGATTCTGAATCAAGATAGAAAAATCAAGGTGCACAGTTGGGAACTCACCCAGCTGTTCTAGGTTCTCCTTCCCCTCATGCTGGGCCCATGCAACTGCTTGTCGTTGCTCAGGACTCAGAAAGGACATTTGCTCAGGAGTGACAGCCACAGCCTGAACACTGGTGAGACTAGATAGTTGGGTGGGGTTGAACACAACCTGGGGGTGGAGACAAGACTTGGAGTATCCACGTAGCCTCTGTTGGACCCTGGCTCTTCTATAACTGCATCAAAACTTACAGCAAACTTAGGAGCAGGGATGACGGAAATGGCAAGAGGGGTCAAGCCCTGGATCTGTCCCTGCAGTAGTGCTGAAAGAGCCAGGTCTGGAATGCCAGCTGTTTGAAGGAAGCAAGATGTAACTCAATGTCATAGACTGTTCTTCAAACCTATAGTGCTGGGATACAGCTCAATGCCAAGAGCATTTGCCTAACCTGTTCAAGACCCTGGGTTTAATCCCCAGCACTGCAAGGTAACAGCCCTATAGATCTTCTCCTTCAACTACTCCCAAAGTATACTACAACAGGCTTCCCCTAATATGTCTCTAGCCAACGCTTTCTCTGAGCTCTACCTTCAGAAGTTCAAGACAATCCTCCATCCAATCCACTCATGGTACGGAAACCAAATCCCATCAATTCTCTCCAGCAGTGGTCCCCACACCCACCATGCCCTCACCTGCTATCGTGCCAATTTCAGTGAAAATCTCAGGCCCCCAGTTACTGACTGGGCCAAAGCCGCCCGGCATCACAAGGAGGTGGGCCAGAACCTCCAACTGTTCCTCCGAGCAGGGAAGATGCAAGTGTCCCAGGAATAGAGCTGCTTGGCTGTGGAGGAAGTAGGAAAGAAGAGACATTCAGCTTCAGTGATAAGAGACCACGGTCATGAGACAGGAAAGAGATGGCTTCAAAGTAAGCTTCCTTCTTATGAGCTCCCCTTCATTTCAGCACTCCCACCACCCACAATCACTCCACAGGTGACCTAAACTCCCAACTGTTGATATGCTGTAGCTCTTCTGGCCGCAGTCCACAAAGCGTGTAACCCAGTGCTGTCAGGTGAATGAAATCCAAGTGGCTCACATGCTGACCACTCTGCCTGAGGAAACTGGAGACCACAACCCGGAGCTGAGGTGGAGATGGACAGGGAGGAAGCACAGAATAAGGAGACATACCATGGGCAAGGAATGGATGGGGAAGTGAATTAGGATAGTGGGGGATGCTACTTTTTATTATTATTATGCCATGGAGAAGGTCTAGAGCATCCCCCTCAAAAGAAGGATAGAAAAATAGGACAAAAAAGAAGCAAGAGAGAATATTATGTGTCTAGGGCTTCAGTCCAAATAAATCAAAGTCCTTGAAGTCTTAGTATGGATTGTTAAAGAAAAAATAGGAATAATGGCCAGGGAGGTGACAGGGTTACAGGAAAAAAAAAAAAATTTCCTTGGGCTTCGGATAATTTAGAGGACTGGGTCTTGGGAGGGGTGTTTGGAGAGTGACAATGAGAGAAGGTGTTACCTGGACAGAGCTCCAGCCATCTATCTGTCCCAGGGTGCTTAGTACTCCCCAATCTACCAGGATGAGCTCCCGCAGCTCCTGCTCTCCCAGGCCTATTAAGAGCCGGCCCAGCTGCAGAATCTGCTCAGGACGAAATCCATGAGGAGGACCCCACAACTAAAAGGAAGAGAAAAAACAATGAGATAGAAAAAGCACTGGACAAGAAATCAGAACGTTGGCTGGGAATGTGGCTTAGTGGTAGAGTGCTTGCCTAGCATGCATGAAGCCCTGCGTCTGATTCTTCAGTATCACATAAAGAGAAAAAGCTGGAAGTGGCACTGTGGCTTAAGTGGGAGGGTGCTAGCTTTGAGCAAAAGAAGCTCAGGGACAGTGCCCAGGCTCTGAGTTTAAGCCCCCAGGACTGGCAAAGGAGGAGGAGGAGAAGGAGGAGGAGGAAATCAGGATGCTACATCTTAGACTTGCTGACTAATGGTGGCACTTTGGACATCACTTGCCTCTTCCTTAGTTTTCTCAATAGTAACATGAGAAGATTCTTCTCACTTAGGGGTTATGGAAAGACCCTAGAATTTCAGTGGACAATAAAGGCAAACTGTAGTTCTAAACTTTTATGTATACCAGACTCACTGAGGTGTCTATTAAAATATAGATAGGTGCCTAGACCTAACCCAGACCCTAGAGATTCTTCAGTCAACATGGCATGGACCTCAAAAATAGCATTTGAAAATCTTTCCCCAAGATATATGTTTATTTATTTATTTTTGTCAGTCATAGGGCTTGAATTTGGGGTCTGGGCATTATCCCTGAGCTATTTCTTGCTCAAGGCTCTATCAGTTTGAGTCACAGAGCCACTTTCAGTTTAATTGGAGATAAGAGTCTTGCAGACTTTCCTGCCTGTGCTAGCTTTGAACCATGATCCTCAGATCTCAGCCTCCTGAGTAGCTAAGATTACAGGTGTGGGCCATCAGTGCCCAGCTTCCTCAAGATGATTTTAATATACAATAAAATTTGGAAAGCACTGTTCTAGTCCTTCTATAAATTGAAGTCGCTGTTTTTCCTCAATATTGATCCCCTTGAATGCCTTCTTTGTTGATACAAACCCTCTAGTTATTATTATCTCCTGTTTCCCTGCCTCCCTTCTCTACCCCCTCCAATGCTCATGTTCTTTTTTTTTTTTTTTTTTTGGGTCCGGTCGTGGGGCCTGAACTCTGGGCCTGGGCACTGTCCCTCAGCTCTTCAGCTCAAGGCTAGCACTCTACCACTTGAGC